TGGCTGGTGTCTAGGAGCCATTTTGTGAAGCGCCGGCTGTTCATCTGGGCCCATGCCGCAGCGTAAGAGATCCTGCCGAAGTGTTTGCCTTCAAGGAGGTTGGGTTGTTGCTTCGCAAGAAGCAGGGCCCGGGCGGCCCTTCGCTCGGAGATCACCTTGGGTCGCGGGGGGAACGTGTCGGGCACCTGTGCCGCACGGGCTCCCCATGTCAGCAACTTGTTCCACCTGATGCTTGCTCGCTTCTTGACAGTACTGGGCCCCCAGAAGTCGTCGGGTGCGAATGCTCTTTCGGCAGCCGCGCGGGCCGTCGCGACCGGGCACCTGGGGGCGCCCTGTGCTTGGAGGCGGATGCCAGACCGAGAGCAGTCCTAAGCTGGGCCCGTAGCCCACGCTCTTGCACCGCGTCGGGGAGGGCGTAGTGCGCGGCGCAGGGGGCCAGGGAGACCAGGTATGCGTTCCAGGCCGCGGCCGTGCGAGAGGGGGACATGTTGGCCAGGTGCAGAGCCAGGGCTCTCACTGATTTTCGGAAGGGGACGGTCCCAAGTGCCTTTGCATAGGGCCTCCTCCTGTTCCTTGGTGAGCCCCCCGTTCTGTGGAGCATCGTCGCCTTCAGCGGCGCCGGGTGCCGCCATCGCCCCAAGGTAGGGCCGCTGATCTCTAACTTCCTCGAAGGGGGTGAGTCTCTGGTGGGGCTGCGCGAAGCGTCTAGAATTCGCAATGCTGCCCCCCGAAGAGCGTGGCCCAAGCAGAGTTCCCAGAACACAGGGACTTGGTTAAAGCCGCGAGCTCCTCAGGGATACCCATGCCTCGAAGATCGCGCAGGACCCGCGGGATCGCGATTGGGGGGCGGGTTCAAAGCCTGCCAGGACGGGCCCAGAGGGGCATCGATCAAGAAGGTGCTTGGCAAGTAGAATTTGCTCAGCCTCCATGACATTCACTGGCGCACCACTGCCTTTGAATTTCTGGAGGGGGGGCGAGACGCCCGCCGGGGCAACTTTGCAAAACAGGACCCGGGCTGCGCGTGCAGAAGGGATCTCAACATCCGCGTTGGCCATGCTCAGCGGCCCCGTCTTGGACGGGGCCCGATGCGCGCCTTCGCCGAGCTCGGCGCCCGTGCCCCTTCCGGGTTCGAAGGAACCCAGCTCGCGCCCCGAGGTTCTCGAGGCATCCCGCGGCAACAATCAACGCAGATCATCGGTGGCAGACTCGCGCCGCCACGCAGAGCGAGGAATACCGCCCTCTCCAGACATGCCATCCACCCAGCTTCCAATGCAAAACCTCTGGTCGCACCCACCTTGCACCTCAAGCATGGCAGGGGGGCACCCGCTATCCGGCGCAACACTGCTAGACGAGATAAACCGGGAGAGCTCAGGCCACGAAGAGCGATCCTCCGCGGGCGCAGCAAACATCTGACCCCAGCGAGCAGAAAGCGACTGGACCGCCCCCCCGCCCGCGTCACTGGGCGCACCTTCACGGGAGAGAGAAGAGAAAGAGAGAGAGAGAGAGAGAGAGAGAGAGAGAGAGAGAGAGAGAGAGAGAGAGAGAGAGAGAGAGAGAGAGAGAGAGAGAGAGAGAGAGAGAGAGAGAGAGAGAGAGACAGAGAGAGAGAGAGAGAGAGAGAGAGCGCCTCCTGGGGCCGCGGGCGTCGTTTCATTGTGGGCCATAGTTCTTTATGTGGGATGCATTGCTTTATGGCATTGCCAAGGGCCTCTTCCGATATGCGCCGCGCAGCGCGGTCTTGCTCGCGCCCCTCTGGGTCCAGAAAGGGAAACTGCAAGTGACAGGCGCGCGCGCTAGTAGGGGGCCTCAAGGCGAACGCTAGGAGCTAGGACGGAAGTCTGCAGGGAAATGAGCAGCCAGGGCAGGAAAGTCACGAATGGCAGAACCAACCTTGAGAGCATCTCCAGCGCGCCAACCACGCCCCGAAGTGCTTGAAGCGCGCGGCGGCGCATTGCCCCCGTGGACTCCGCAAGGCGGCTGGCCGGCAGAGCCCCCGCCGCCCCCGCAATCTCGAACATTGGGTCTTTAATCCTTGCCAGACAGCCCCAAGGAGCCAACTCAGGCAGGGCAAAAACAGTCTTGTTAAAAAGAGCCCCAAAGTGCTCGTTTCCTTAACAATCCAAGGCGGAAGCTGACGGGGAGAGCGAGGGGGGCAGAACTTGGAAATTGCGACAACACCAGGAAGGTGGCCTGAGACCATCTTCGATTGGAGCCCACCCAAGAACTCGCCTTCAATAGTGAGATCGCCAAGGAGCGCAGCGGGCAGGGCACAGCGCGCCCTGCCCAGGCGCGCAGGTTGAGAGATGGCGCCCTCCCGAACCTCCCGACGACTATCACCCGACTGGTCCAGTTCCGCCCGCCCCCCGCCCTTCGGAGAGACGTGCGGTGTATGAGCAACGTCGCCAGACGACCACCCAACGCCATCCGCGCGCGCGCCCATCGGATGAGAGAGAAGTTCTAACCGCCGATAATAAGGATGGTCGCGAATTCAGGGTTCGCAAGCAGAGCAGACAGGACCAAATTCAAACGCCATAGTATAACTATAGTGCAATCAGGTCGCTTGAGTTTGGCTCTTGAGCGGTAACGATGCAGAGGTTACCGAAGAGCCCTGGGAGGTAAGATTTTAGGATACGCGCATCAACAACATCAAAAATACTGGAGTGGGACAAGGAAGAGAAAAGACGCAATGGACGGTGATATATGCATGTTGCAACTCCACCCACACTCGTGCTGTCCGGCATGAGGTAATGACTGGCGTCATAGCCATGAAATTCTCGATTCATGACTGATATATCCGCCATCTAACCGTGGTATCTCGCGCGCAGTGTATACGAAGCTGCTTGCGTACTTGAGGAGACGAGCGTCCGCCGCGGAGCCTTTGCACTCTGACTTCGAACAGCTGCAAAGAGAGCGCGCGTGTTCCATGAACCGATCTTCAGAGAGGAGGAGGAAAAAAGGGGCGGCGACCCGACATGCGCAATATTGACATAACTCGCAGCTTCCCGCGGCAACTGCACCTGCAGATGAGAAGCCACGCCCGCAGTCAAGGGCACATTTTCGAAGCGCAAAGAGTCACTACTAATCAGTTGATTGCTTGCGCACATGCCCGGGGGCAGCAGGGCCGCCAGAGTTCGCAGCCACTTCGCACAGGGGCACACCTTTGAACCGAAGGCCGCGCCCATAGCCAGGGGCTCATCTACGAACTCCTCAAAAAACGGCCGCCCTCGTCCAGGTGCTCCACTCCCTGCATCAATCTCTTCAGCCAAGGCTGGACCAGGGCGTGAAATTCAGCAATATGGTTTTCGAAAAATGAAACCGACACAGAAGGGCGTTCAGAGGAGGCGTCCAGGTCAAGGTGGCAGATGTGAACGGGGTGCTTTGGAGTTCTCAGGATGACGATATATCCGCGCCAAGGCCGTCGGATCCCACCTATTTTCGGAGGGGGCGGACGGCCGCAGCGAGGGAACGACCAATTTTCCCCCCATGGCAAGAAACAACAAGCGGGTGCCTGGTTCCATGTCCCTTTTGGCCCGCAACGAGATCTTCTGACCTGGGTAGAATGGACCGGGAAAGTCAATCGGCCGGTGTGTCGCCAAGTTGTTGATAAAATCAGCCGTTTTGACCGAGTCTGTGAAGTCCAAGGTAACCTTTTTTTCGCCTTACGCCAAGAATAGGTCGGCCGCGCGACGAAGAGACGCCTACATCATCTTGCGAGGGAGTCCGACAACCACAATACGATGAGCCCGTTCCAGAGCGGCTTGGTGCGTGGAGTGGCGAAGCCCCTCCAGCGCCGTAAAACCAGCCGACGACATAGGAGCACTTGGAGCTGCGAGAGGAGTAGGAGTAGGAGTAGATAACTCGCGCAGCTGCGTCATGGCGTGGATCCGACCTTGCACCATCGGTGGGATGCTGGGCGTCTCAATTTTCATCGGGTCACGTGGGGTAGGCGACTCCTCAATCGAGCGCATAGTGTTCAAGCCATTGATGTGTTCCTGACGGGCGCGCAACTTCGCATCGGCGTCGCAAGCAAAGTTCGTCACCTGCACAGCCAATTCTCCACAGCGTCGATTCGAGATCCCTTCACCTGCACAGCCAACTCTCCACCTGCACAGACAACTCTTCACTCTCCAGTGGTGGTCACGGCACTTGAGAGGGTCTTGACTGTGTCCCACATCGAATCAATCTTACACTCATGAGTGTTCTGCTGGCGATCCTCAACCGAACGTGAGCGAGTCACCGAACTGGAAAGTGACGGAGACGAGATACGCGTGGCACGACGAGCACGACGGTTCTCTCCACAAGTCGGCATCGGAGCAGCTCGGATCCCTGAGCAGAAACCGACGGCAGGACACTCCTGCTCCTTCCTTGGGTGCGTTCTGGGTAGGGCGCCTGGAAGATCTGCCAGTAAATTGGCCTCTGGGGACCCTCGTGAGCTGCCAGGATCGGTTCACTTTGGCATTCGGCCTCCTCCTCCCCCTCCTCCTCCTCCTCCTCCTCCCCCTCCTCCTCCTCCTCCTCCACCTCCTCCTCCTCCTTTTTCTCCTGTCCTGGAACCGAGCCGCCCCGTCGGTTCTGTCCAAGGTGGACGCCCCAGGGCAAGCCTTCCAACTTGAGCCAAAACAGATGCGGAGGAACTGCTGCCGGTCTCTTCGCCCCGTTTTGCCGCACCCACTCTGGTCGTACCGAGGTAAGGGCGCGAGAACAAGGAGGACGGAGGTTTTCGTATTTTCCGGCCTCGAGGGGCCCTCGCGAGGCCACGGGCGAGGATGACGACGAGAGGCGGGAAAGGCAAGAGACGCGCTTGCTCCTACTCCACCTCCTCCTCCTCCTCCTCCTCCTCCTCCTCCTCGTCCTCCTCCTCCTCCTCCTTCTCCTTCCCCGGAACCGAGCCGCCCCGTCGACTTTGTCCAAGGTGGACGCCCCAGGGAGCAAGAGGGAGAGGGGCAAGAGAAGCAAGAGGCGCACTTGCCCCCGGAGCGGCGGCGGCGGCGGCGCGGAGCCTCGCGCGCGGCACCGGCGGCTTCTGGACACCGGCGCGCGGCCCGTGCAGCGGGCGGCAGGCTTCGAGCCGGCGAGGGCGCGCCTCCCCCGTCTGGCGGCCGCGCGCCTGCGCCCGCCCGCTGCGCGCCTCTTGCGCCCTTTCCTGCCCTCCTGCCCCCCTCCCTTCCCCTCGCTCGCCACACCCTGCCCCCTCCCGTCCCTGCCCTGCCCTCCCCCTCCTGCCCCTCCCCTTCCCCCTGCCCCATCTCGTCCCCCTCCCGTCCCCCTCCCGCCCCTCCCCTGCCCTTCCCAGACCTCCCATGTCTTGAGATGCTCAATACCAAAGGCCCCCAGAGGTTTTGAAATTTTCACGGGGCCGGAAGGACGGTCGAAAATAGCTGAGCATGGCTCAGGATAGCTTTCGACAGCCTCTAGCCGAACATGGTTCACGATAGCCTCCAAGAGGCCTCAAGAAAACATCCGATCGTGTCTGCATGGGCTAGCGGGGATACTTTTCCGTCGCAGCCGCAGGCGAGCGCGCCAGCAGCGTCAAGGGTCGGGCGGGCTACGCGCGAACCTACTTGCCTGCCGCGCCGACTGAGCGGCGGCCTAAGTAGCACCTGAGTTGACCGGACAGCGCAAAGTGGTGCGGGCTGCAGCTGCCAGGAACCAGGTCCAGAAGCGAGCGTATGCATAATTAGCCAACCAGGGTTGGAGCGCAGCCAAAATGGCGCGGGAAAGATACCAGGATGTAGTCAGGAGCGCCATCACTAGGAAGGCTGACACCAACTGGGCCAGGAATGACCACGGAACTAATGCATGGAAGTGGCGCCACCACAGTCGCACCCAACGAGACTCCTGAAAGGAATACCGATCCGGACATTAGTCGTCAAACCGTGAACAGAATGAGCACGAACGGCATAGCGGAGTGGCCAGGGAAACGATGGATGTGATGAACACCGCAACTGAACCTCTGCCAACGGATCAGAGGAAACCACGCGCATTCCCGAACAAGGTCGACGACATCTGAGGAGAACTGACCAGGAACTGGGCAGGAACACGCCTCAAGCACGTTGTCGAGTGAACACGGAATTGCCGTGGACACCGCCGCCAGGAAACCGTGGACGTAGTCAACACGGTCGGCCGACGGTCAGGAGAGCACAGGCTGGACCACGTGCACTCGGGGGCTCCATGCGCCAGCTAGAGGGGATATTTTTTTTTGGGGTCGCGGGCGGACGCGCATTCGCAGTCGCCGAGCTGAAAGGTCCGGGCCACGGGCCGGTCAAATTAGCAACGCGCGAGCCTAAGAGCACAGTGGCAAACGATGCGAAGCGTCAAGAATTTCTCAATACGAGGTGAGGTTGGACCTTTTTACGGGACTGGCTCTTCATCCTGAGCCGTTTTCCAAGCTCGGCAGCGGCCTCAAGAGCTCGTCAAGGGCCTCCGTTTCCGAAGGGCCTGCACGACGACGAAAACCACGACGCCGACGACGACGGCGACGACGACGACGACGGCGGCGACGACGACGACGACGGCGGCGACGACGACGACGACGACGACGACGACGGCGGCAAATAGCAGGGCCGTGCGCGGCGCAGGCGGGCGCCTCCTTCGCGGAGCCCCCGGGCGCCGCGCCCACGCCGTCTGAGCCTGCAGGTTCGCGGCACGGTGGGCTCGTCAGCATCGACGTCGACGTCGACAACGACTGCTGCGGCGAAGACGCTGGCGACGGCGACGTCGACGACGACAACGAAGACGTCGACCGCGATGCACCCCGCCTGGGCCGAGAAGCTGGGCCCAGGCTCCCTGATCTTCGACGTACCACCTCCTCCTCAGCCTCCTCCTCCTCCTCCTCCTGCTCCTCCTCCTCCTCCTCCTCCAGCGTGGTTCTCGACGTCGACGTCGTCTTCGACGACGACGACGACTACGACGAACACCACAACGCGATCATCTCACTTTGAAGATCAAGTGGGCCGAAAAACGTACCGTACTGATGCCGCTTCTGCTCGTCCTGCCCCCCTCCTCCTCCTCCTCCTCCTCCTCCTCCTCCTCCTCCTCCTCCTCCATCCTTTACTGTTTCCTATTCCTTATCCTCCCTCCTGCTCCTGATGAACGCCCTAACGATGGCCGCTGGTTTGCCTTGCAGAGACTTGAGCGATTGTCCTCCTCTTCCTCCTCCTCCTCCTCCTCATCCATTGGGGTTCGGTGACGAACTCTGCCAAACTCTTTCCTCCTCCTCCTCCTCCTCCTCGTCCTCCTTCTCCTTTCCTCCTCCCTCCAGGGAGACTATCCACTGATTTGGGGGTGTTCCGCCCAGACGCCGAGGCAAGCCTGGGGTCGGTTCGGCTCGGCGAGAGCCGGCATCACACGAGTGGTCGAAACACGTCGGGCCGTCAGGCCCTGGAAAGACGCTGTCTACGCATCCTGCCGCGCTGGCGGCAACGTGCCGTGTGTCGCACACGCTCGCTTATTCTTCTTGGTGATGGGTTCTTCAGGGGTCGCAGGGTTTCCGCCCGTCCTGGTGCTGAGACGGGCAGCACATCAAGGAACGGGAGCAGCTGAGCAGGCGAGGAGGCAGAGGGCGGGGAAGTGCGGCGACGACCAGGTCAACGAGGGCTGGAGCGAAGGGCGCACTGCGCATGATAACCACGCAAAGATTAAGGAATCCTGTAAACGAGAAAACGACCGAGGAAACCATGAACACGCGGCACGACGAAGACGACGAAGAGGGCAATCGACGACGAGGGGCCCGACACCGGTACGGCGGCGACAACTGACGGCCCAGCCGACGGCCGGCCGCGAGGGGAATCGAGGCGAGTGCCGGCCACAGCCGCGACGTCTCAGGCAGGGAAGCCCTATGTAAGTCATGGCATGGAGGGTGGGGCAATGGGAAGGAGGGGGGGAAGAGGCAGGAGACGAGGGATCGGCTGAGGGTGGAGGGCGGGGGATCCCGAGAGCAAGAGTAGCAAGGGGTGTGGGGGTCAAACCATGTGGGGACAGGCAGCGTCGGTTCCGGATGGGGGCCTGAGAGCAGAAATCCCAAGGAGGGGGAATCAGACCAGGCGGGCCGCGTAGTCGGTTCTGGGCGGAGAGGCCTGGCAGGCGAACAGGCTGACAGAACGCATGAGAACGGCAGCAGACTGGTAGCCTCTAGGATGGAGCACAGACCTGTAGCGTCGCAGGCCCAGCGAGACTGTGGCACGGAAGCCCGGGCATGCCTCAATGTGGGATTGAAGAAGGCGCTGGACATGGAAGGGCTACGAGCAGGAGCAGCAGTCCGAGAGACACAGCACACAGCAGGTTCCCCATGCCGCGTTTCTTCCTCCGCCTCTTCCTCCTCCCCTCTCTCTTACGCATACAAGGCGGTGAAAACAAAACAACAAACGCAAAACCGTGATCCGCGCCTGCGTCTGCAGAACAAAAACAAGAAGACCGACAACGTGCCCGGTGTCTCGGCAGCCCGGCCTCGCCTTGTTCCAGATGGGTTCTGAATGAGGCGGTGTTTGCAACAGGGCTGGACCTAAACGTTGTTTTTCGTTTTGTTTTCGTTTTGTTTTTCGTCTTCCCGTTTTCCTGCACCTCCCTGCCAAATCGAAAAACAAAGCACAGCCGAAATCCAGCAAAGCAGCGTTTAGGCTCAGTCCTGGTTTGCAGCAGCCCAACAGAGCTCTCAGGAGAGGCACCGGCACATGAACTCAACTGGCACTGGTGCAAACATGCCAAAGTAATCAGCCAAGCGGCCCTCTGCGCTAGGATAAAGGACGCCGTGCCCACGTCGCCCATTATTGACCGAATCGTGTGAGCCGCCATGGCGCAATCAACCGTACAACCACACCTTTCCGCTGCCATGACTGCCGTCCGCAACCCTGCCCTCAGAACGAATGCCCGCACGCGCGGCATGCCAAAACGAATTCACGTAGCAAACGGAACCACAATCAACAGCGCCATCTGAACGTAGACAGACAGACATTCGTGGGCGAACAGGGCTCAAGTAAGTTATGGTGCCCGAATTGTGCCCGAAGGGTTCCCGAATTGGATGCATGATTTGTTCATGATTATGTGGTCACGCGTTGCGTTTTCGCGCCGGTGCTTCAGTCTGCGAGAGAAGCATTGCGCGCGGCTCTTAATCGGGATCCAGCGTCGCCCATGTCCGACATGGGCGGCGTTACCAAACACGCAGGCTGCAAAGGACCACCGCTTCGCCCCCTGCGAATCGAGGGCAGCGGGCCCACTGGCAGCCCACTCTGCGCCTAAGTCGGGCGTGTCCCTCTACAGGGGAAATGTTCAAAGATAGGTAAAATATCATCAGGGGACGATTCTTCGATCATCTTTTGAATATGTTTGATCATGCTTCGAATCTCTTGTATTTTTCTTCCAAAACCCCCCTGTAGGAGGACATGCCCGACCTAACTTTACGCGCAAGAAAACAACTTCTCACTCGGCAGCGCCAGCCGTCGCAGAGAGAGCATCCGGGCAGAGCCCGCGGGCCGCGCCGGGCGCGCGGGGCACTTTTGGCGTCGGCGGCCGGGCACTGCGGAACTCCGACAGTTTATGTACATGTCGTGCTTTGTTTCTCGATCTCTCTATCTCGCCTCTCCCTCGCGCAGCAGCGCCGCCGGCTCAGGGACCTGTGCCTCCCAATCCTGCGCGGCGCCTCGCGTGCACGTCGAGGTAGGGTGCGGCGCGAGAGGCACTTTCCGCACGGGGTGACTGCGCGGCCTCGGGCACCAGGAGCCGCCGTGGACTTGCGCGCTCAGCTGCCCGCGCAGTGACTGCTCGCAAATGGCCTGGATCCGTCGCGGGGGGATCACGATACACGAATGACATCGAGGCAGGCGCTCGTGTGTGCGCGTGTGTGCGCGTGTGTTCGGGCGTTTGCGAGTAGGCACTCTGCGAGCAGTGGAGCGCGCTCGGTGAAAGCAGAGGGCGTTGTGCAGGAAGCACTTGCCGCCGAAGCAGTAGACGGCCAGGTGGACCGCGGGGACAGCCGCCGACGGCTCGCCAGGGGCAACGTGCCCATTGACCAGGGCCAAGGCGTCGAACCGAAGGGCCTGTGACGGGGGAACTGGAGACAGGAAAGGGGTGTGGCATAAAGGGGTATGGTGCCAATGTTGAGTCTGGCGATGCCGTCTATCGCAGATAGCACCTCGATTCCCACCATTGGCACCACACCACTTGATTGCAATGCCCCTTTCCGACCTCCAGAGGGAAGCAGCTGAGCCGAAGCCACCGGCAGAGCTGCCAGGCCGGCCCGATGTGCAGGCGAGGGCAGGGGTGCATGCTGGGCGCAGCCCAGCGACCAAGTTTTGCCGAGGAGCATCAACGGGACCGCCGGGGATCTTCTGACCCAGGTCAATCCAAACCCGGTTCAGACAGGCCTTGCAGAATCCTGCAAGGTCCTGCGCCCAACCCCGGGTCAACGCGAAGGATCCTGCAAGGTCCTGCAGGATCCTGCACCCATGCCCAGGTCAATGCGACCCTGGCCCTGCAGGATCCTGCAAGATCTGGCGCTCTGACTGACCCCCGTTTGCATTAACCCCCGTCGCGAGGCTCCCGAGACCGCAGCAGCGCCAGCGATACGGCGACCGAAGCCAGCTATACTGGAGCCTTCGACCGAGGGAGGCCGCCGAGCTGGACCGATGTCCAGGCGGATCAGGCAGCGGGCGCAATCAGACTCGACCCAGGGACCAGGCCCTGTCGAGGAGCACCCTAAGGGGCCCGCGCAGCAGGCGGCGGCCATGGCGGTCGAGCAAGGGGGGGCGACGAGAAAGGGGGCGGAGGAAAAAGTGCACGAAGATCACAAGTAACGCTCAAGAGGGGCTCCACCCCAGCAGGCCAACAGGGCCATCAGCGACAACGCACGCTGCGTGAGACCGCCACGCAAGCACAATTGTCCTAAGATGGCAGCACCGCCACGCAAGCACAATTGTCCTAAGAGGCAACCACCAGCGTGGCCGTCCAACGGCACTGCAGGAGAGATGAAGCGCGCCCTTCAGGAGTGACTCTCGGCAGTCAGCAGAGACCTCTCCAGACCAAAATACACAAAGCGACGCAGGGTGTGCTCCTCGTCCTCCTCCTTCTTCTCCTCCGCCTCCTCCTCATCCTCACCAACACCCATCCCGCTCTGACACACAGCCTCGCAACCATCATCCTCCTCACAAGTGTGAACCACCGTCCTCCCACAGAGGACGTGGAAACAGCACGCACACGCGCAGGTCTCAGGGACGGGCAAAAACGGCGGAGAGGTGGCGCACTGCGCTGTGGCACCGGCCGCGGCCGCGAACGCCGCCGCGCGCCCCTTGGGCATGGCGCTGGACGAGGTGGCCTTGTCCACGGCTTGCTGGGCGGCCGCGGGAGGAAGCGGATGGCAGCCGTGCAGGCGAGGCTCGGGGGGGGCGCCATCAGGCGCGGGCCACATGGGGGCAAAGGTGCAGAGGCACGGGGAAGGGGAAGGGGCGAGGAAAGAAGCGGCAGGGGCGGGAGAGGGAGAGAGAGAGAGAGAGACACTCTGGATGGACGGAGGGGGGGGCGGAAGATCCAGAAGCGCAGGGGCTCCGCGCCCTCCCGGGGTACTGGCTGGCGCGCAAGTGTCGCCGCTTCCCTGAGCCCTCGGGGTGGCCAAGTGGCGGCGCGCCTCGCGCGGGTCCAGTCTGGACCTCGCCCTCCACGGGTGCTGCCATGCGCGCCGCTGCCGCTGCTTCCCTGCGACCCCGGAGGGCCCAGCAGGCTGGCGCCCCCGAGCAGATCCAAACAAGGCCTGGGCCTCCCCGGGTGTCCCAGGCGGGCAATTTCTCGTCACGCCGTTGCAACCGCGGGAGGTCTGGCGGATTGCGGCGCCTCGCAGATGCGAACGGACCCTCGACATCCCTGTGTGCTGCGAGGCGGTCGTACGCAGGCCCATCCCTTCATACTGTCCTTCCTCGCCGTCGTCGTCGTCATTCCTCCCTTCCTGGTTCCACCTCCTATCCCCTGGAAGTACCTCCAGTCGGTCTCATAGAGTGCACAAGGCCATAGACCCCGATATCCCCGAAACGGTGTTTGCACTTAGGGGTACGTACTTGTGTTCTCAGGAACTGGGCCTGGGGGTCGGTCCGGCGGCTATGTTGTCGCCGTCGCCACCGCGTCGCAGCCTCGTCGCCACCCGTCGTCTGGGCCTAGGGGTCGGTCTGGTGGCTACGTTGTCGACGTCGCCGCCCCGTCGCCGCCTCATCGCCGCTACATAGACTGCACCACATAGATTGTGCAGCCAGCGTGGACCCCAAACAGTGGGATTCTAGCACTATCTGCGGTGCACTCTGCGTGGTGCAATCTATGTTTCGCAACGTATTTGCAGCAATATGTGTGGCGCAATCTATGTGGTGTCGTGCAATGTATGGTGTGCGACCAACGTGATGCAATGTATGTGGTGCCATCTATGTGGTGCAATATATGTCGTGCAACGTAAGTTGAACAATACACGTGGCTCAAAATAAATAGTTCAGTCTATGTTATGCAGTCCATGCTGTGTCATCTATTTGGAACAGTATCCGTTGTGCCATATATGTGGCGCAATACATGTTGTTTCATCTATGTGTAGCAGCATATGTGGCGCTGCGACCTGCAACATATGTGGTGCAATCTGTGTAGACCAGTATAGGTTATGCGATATACGGAAAGGAACCTATTGTGTGCATGATATGCTGTACTATCGATGTTGGCGCAACCTGCGTTGTGCAATCTACGTTGTGCAAAATATGTTGGGCAATGCCCGTTGTGCAATAACTGTGGTACAATCTATTTGGTGCAACCTCTGTGGTGCTCTCTATACACCCGTATGCATACATACGACATAGATTGTGCAAACTACGTGGTGCATTACTTGCACCTCTGGCTTGTTTTCCAATGATCTGGGCTTGCCATTGACGTTGCTGGAGTTGGCGGTGGCACGGGAATGCTGTCGCTGGCATGGCAATGTTGTCGTTGGCATTGTGGCGCGAAACGCCTACATCATTAGCATTGCTTGAGTTGGTGCTGCTGGCGCTGGCATTGCTTATGCTGACGCTGGCAGTGTGATACTTGCGCTGGCGCGGTAAAGCTGTCGCTGGCACTTCAAGGTTGTCGCTGGCACGGTGATGTTGGTGTTGGATTGTTGTGTCTGGCATTGGCACTCCTGACGTGGATGCTGGCACGGCGACGCGGCCCTGGCAAACATCCAGCCTCTGGATGCTCGTTCCTACCACTGAAAATGTTAAGGCCAAATTGGGGATGCGCCCTCAGAAACGAGGCGGGGGGGGTGGCACGGGAGTGCTGTCGCTGGCACGGTCATGTCAGTGCTGGCACGGCAAATGGTTTCGTTGGCACGGTAATGCTGTCGCTGACACGGTGATGTTGGCGTTTGCGTTGACGGCGCTGGCACGGTGAGCCCGCTGCTGAAGGGGCGCGGCGGCGTTGGCGAGTGACGAACATTCGGGGACTAGCGACGAGGAGAGAGGTGAGTTGAGAAGCCAGGCGGGGTTGCAAGCAGACCTCCTGACTCATGAGGCCCTTCGGGGACGGCATGCAAACTTGATGACCTGATCAGACGTCGGCCCGACGATGGAGCGCTCTGGCCCACCAGGGTGTGTCTACAATGGTTGATCCAAAGGCCATGCAACCCCAGATCGCCTCGGAGCCTCAGTGCTGATCAAACTTGATGTTGGTGATGCTGATGTTGAAGGTTAACATGGTGGTGATGCCGATGAGAGTGACCATGACGATGGAAATGATGACGTGCTCATGTTGCTGATGTCGGCACGGTACGTTTTCATCATTTTTAACGCATTGCATGCCATTGCCCAACATGCTCTCTGGCGTACGCGTCCACCTCTGCTGTGGCGGGCTTCCTGTGGCCAGCTTATTTTCGAACTCCCGCGCCAGGCGCAACCAAACGCCCAGAAAATGCTGCGCTGCATGGGGGCCATGTCGATCTCTGCCCAAACGAATAGGTCGAAACAGCCTGCAGTTGCCATGGCGGATGATGCAACATTGCACACGAACACCAACTGCGCCCCCACCAGACGGTAACTTTTGTGTTTCCGTGGTAACCCGCTGGCCCTCGATGAAATCATCACTCGCGCTTGCGCCAGCAAACTCGACTCCATCTCCTACGGGCACTGGAGGAGGAGCAGGGAAGGGGACTGGAGGTGGAACAGCACCTTCGTCGCCAACGGCGTCGTCGTCAGCGATGCCATCGCCAACGACACCTCCAGCCTCGAGCGGGATGGGATCTTCCACCGCCCCAGCGATGACACCTGCAATCGGCGCGAATCCACCGTCGCCCCCGACCGCACCATCGAGCATATCTTGCACTTCGATGTTCATGTTTTTTGTTGATTTGGCATCAATTGCTGCGACATCAGGGCCCCCATCTCCCTCCAAAGCCTTGAGTGTGGCAGCATGCCTGGCTGATCTCTCACCTGGCACTGCGATGGTCAGATCCTTCAGGAGCAATCGAAACAATGAATATGGCTCCGATGATTTGAATGGCCCGGCACCCTTGTCACACAGTACCTCCAGCGACAGCGGGGACAACGCGTAACGCTTCCTACCAACATGCATATTGCGAGAAGCGTGCCCCGCAACCCCGTCGAACATCTAATAGATAACAACTTCTGAACGCGATGCCCAGCCAAGTGTTTCGGCCCAAAAATGACAGAGTGGGCCAGTGCAGCTCGGAGCCAGTGGGCGCTTTTATCCGAGGCTCACATAAGTCTAAACAGCCATCAACATCGCTTGGACCTGTCTCCCACTCTGATAAGACGCTGCCTGCTCTCACAACATCCACGAATTTGAAAGAGAAAAAAGGCCCAGGATCTTGGACACGATGCGCGTGAACAACATCGAAATCAATTCCATGTCCAACCCACCACTCTCTTAAAAAAACTGCACATGAACGGCAAAGGGGCCCCGTGTCGCTGGCGTGCTGATTCACAGCATGCGCCAGTTTTGCGCGGGCCTTCAAGCTCAAGATCTGCACGTGCACGCAGGGCGGCCCATCATCGTCATCCACGGCGTTGGAACGAACGGTAGCCGCATTGCCCAAAAGGCCCGCCCCTCCGACTGCAAAAAACCTCGGCACATATGTTAGTCGACGTCGGGGTCCGACGAGGCGCGGCATCGCAAAATGTCACCGCCACCTCCCTCGTCTGGCTCGTCATCCCCGGAGCAGCCTGGTCCATCGTGGCCCAGGTCGCCGGGCGCGCCGCCAACGCCTCCTCCGCCAGGCCCTCCGCCGTCGCCGCCGCCGCAGCCGCCAGGGGCGCCCGCTGCGACTGCCATCCCATGCAACATGCAGCCCAGGTGCGTCCCCATGTAGGTTCTGACAACTGCTTTGGATCTCCTCATGCGCGATGGCGCCATATTTGCAAGAGATGCCCTCGGCAGCTGCGAGGCTGACTTAGCATTGGCCCAGTTCGTGTCGAGGTCTACGCCTAACGAGCCACAAAAACCACGCACGTTCTCAATCTCGCTCTCCGGCCGGATGGAACTGGCGGTCCAAGGAAAGGTGCCTCGCCGAGCTCTCACGCGGTGGTGTCAAGCCTATGCGCGGTGCCCCTCAGCAACAGTTTCGCCCAAAGACGCGTGCAGAATAAGCAAGTTATGCCTCCAGTTCTGGGCGGATGCCCCCCCCCCCGCGCTCGCTGATGCGATCCATCGCAGCGCGCAATCTCGACCCTGGCCCCACGACAGCAAGAGTCACCGAATCGCGACAATATGCCTGGCATACAAACCGATGCGCCTTGACTCGGTGCCAGGCTCGCGCAGCCCCCCCAAGAGGCAAGTTATATCGCTTAAGAACTGGAGCCTCAAAGAACCAAACGCGAACGCGAACGCGAACGCGAACGCGGATGCAACAACTGAGGGTCCGGACCGAACCTGCCCCCCCCAAAGCATTTCCCCCCTCAAACCCCGCCCTCAATTCCGACGCGCCATACTCGAAAAGCAAATCCAATCACGCAACCAGATCAACCGCATTTGGTGGCCTCACCAAACTCCCACATACGGCGGTGGAAAGGGCAGTATCCAGCAAAAGGCATCGAATCATTCAGCCACGCATTGAAGCACATCAAAAACTCGAAATGGAATGGGGACACTGGACAACCCAAGGCACCAATATCAGAATTCAGACGGACAAAGTCTCGAATCACACTGAATGCAGCTCTGGCGACGCGGCCTTCGACAGACCAGGTAACCGATCCAATCACGCCAGAACATGATGGGTTTCTGCCGCCGCCACTCCGCAAAACTCGGTACCGTGGCCACGGTACTCACCAGATCGACTAAGCCACGCAGTCCCCTCGGCTCTCCAGTGCGTCTCCAAAGTGTGCCGCATGCCCTGGGATGCGTGGTTTTCAAATACACGCACGCGCGATGTTGTCTATCTTCCTCCTCCTACCCCATCCCACCTCGTCCTACTTCTCGCCCCCTGCCTCCGACCCCTGCCTCCTGCCTCCCCCGCCCCGCCCCCTGCCGGCCCCCCCCCCCCCCCCCTCCCCCCCGCAAGCCTCGGCGCCCCCTAGGCTCCTGGCGGGCAACGTTTGGGATGCCAGCGGCATTTTGCATCATCGGACCTCCCTTCTACCTCCCACATCGCACCATGTACCTCGGCGTTGTTTCCTCCTACATCGCGTCTCCTGGAACGTCGGCCACTCGAATTTTACCCGGGGCATTCGCCCAGCTCCCCGCGTCGCCGCGAAGCGCGTGACAGGTGCGCCGAAATCAATATCACACCTCTTACCTCGTGCTTCCAACCCCCCACCTTGCCCGCCGCCCCGCGGGTTTCCCAGGGCGCCGCGGCTCCCGGGCAAATGGCGGGGGGCAGTGGGCAGGGCGAAATAGGATTCACGAGGTGCGTGGCATGGTGGATGGGGGTTGGGAATGGGAAGGTGGCGCGCATTTGAATGGATGCGAGCCTGGGCTCTGGATGGCGAGGCCAACGATTAGACCCTCTCAATAAAGCGTGAAAGCCAGGCGAGAGCATTGCAACCGTGCCCGACGAGGTTGTCGACCTTGTGCCTCCAGCCAGGAGTGACAAGGGCACGCGGCGACAGCAGCGACTGCCGGGGAACAGAGAACATCGCGCCCACACATCGGTAAACATCAGGTAGACAGTCATTAATGTTGGCGACCGCGCATTATGCCCCCACATGAGAAACCGCGCCACGAACGCGAGCCAGAACCTGCCGCATTACAGCGGCGCCCCCGCCGAAGACCAAGTGAATCTGCCTCAACGCAGCGGCGGTCTTGGCAAGCGCCGACAATGGAGTTCTCATCCGAAGAATTGGTGGAAACCTCCTGGAAAAAACTCTCGGCTGCCCAGCGCGATGCGAGGCAGCCTGCGCCCCCAAGCGCCAGGGGGGCTGGAAGAAATCTACAGCTAAATCCCAACAGGGTCTCCATTGACTGCGAAGAAACACCGTCTGCAATCCAATCGGCTCTGACCCTGGCTGTCCGCAAAATTTGTAAGGGCGTGTTCTACCGCTGCTGGCGGAAGACAAGGGGGGGGGTCATGGGGCCCCCCAGCCCGCCCCCCCCCTCCGCACCCGAAAATGGGAGAGGCAATGCCGGTTCGACCCCCCCCCCCCAGCTCATAATGAAAAGGGGGGGGGGGGGTCGCCGCAGGTTCGAACCCCCCCCACCCCCCTCGCCGCCGGCAGACGATCCCCGCTCCTCGGGACAGTTGGCAATGGCGGGGGTGCTGCGACAGCGGTGGGAACGGTGGCGGCGGGGACATTGGCGCGGGGGGCAGTGGGGCAGCGGCGCGGGCAGCGGCGGGGACGGTGCGGAGACAATGGTGGGACAGTAGTGCGGCGGGGGACAGTCGCGGGGACAGCGAGGCAGCGATGGTGACAGTGTAGGCGGCGGGACAGCGCAGTGGGACAGCGGCGGGGGCGGCGGGGCGGCGCTGGGCACTGCGGGGGCAGCGGGGCAGCGGAGGGGGCCGCGGGCCGCGGGGAAATCGGGGAGAGCGGGGCCGTGGTGGGAGAATAGCGGGGAGAGTGGGGGCAGTGAGACACTCGCGGGGGCACCGGTGGGGACAGCGGGGACAATGGTGGGAACAGCGGGGGCAATGGAACAGTGGTGGGGGCGGTGGTGGTGGGAGCACTGGCGCGAGAACAATTGGAATGCATGGGGAACAGCGAGACAGTGGAGGGCACTATGGTGGCGGGGACAGCGGCGAGGGCGGCGGCGAGGACGGCAGCGGGATAATGGGACAGAGGTACAGAGGGGGCAGCGGTGGGGGCAGCGGGGACAGAGGTGGGACCAGGGGGGCAGCCGCGTGGGGCAGCGGCGGGGGCAGTGGGGCAGTGGGGCAATGGGGGCAGCGGTTGGGTCCGTGGGGAAAGTGGGGCCGCGGTGGGAACGGCGCGACAGTGGCGGGGGCGCTGGCGGGGGCAGTGGGGGCGGCGGTGGGAACAGCGGGGACAGCGGTGGTGAGGGCAGTGGTGCTGGGACAGCAATGGGGGATGCGGCGCGGGCGGTGGCGGGAACCCGGGAGTCGTCTGCTGGCGGTGAGCGCGGGGGGTGGGGAAAGGGATTCGAACCAGCAGCGACCCCCCCTCGTTTTCTGGAAGGGGGGGGTATGAGACGGCGGCGACAGGGGGGGGGGGTCGAACCGGCAGCGGCCCCCCCCGGTTTTCCGGGGGGGGTCGAACCGGCAGTGACCCCCCTCCCAGTTTTCCAGAAGGGGGGTTGGGCTTAAGGAAGGGGGGGGGGGGGGGGGGGGGGGGGCTTTTGCCGAGGTGGGAAGGGGGGGGGGGGGCGTTCAGCAGGGGTGGGATTTTCGCAAAGGGGGGGGCCGAGCTCCGGAGGAAGAGGGGGGGGGGGATTTTCTATAGTAAAGCGGCGGTGGGTCACGCTCTCTCCAAAGTTTCGCATCGAACGTCCCGCTCCGTGCAAACAGCCTGCTCCAAGCGCTCGCGCCTCTCCTTGCGTGCCTGATCGTCCGCGGGGCAATGCTGGTATCCAGCCAGTCCAAGACGCGTGAACTGTTCACGCGGTTGCGCCGTGCAGCTGGCGCATCTTCCGGCGCGGGAGCTGCTGGCGCTGGCGCCGGCGCTGGATGCAGCTGGCGGAGCCGCCCCAGGCAGCGGTGAATCGCTTCTTCACGACATCGCAAGAAACAACCTTGCATCGCATCCACGACGCCAATCGCCACTGTTGGGCATGCAGCAACACGCCCGCATGTGCTGATGCGACCGTGTTCGCGAATGACGCGGTCAAGGTGTTGGCGTCAACTTCCGCGCAACGCGGCGCCGTCCAGAGACCTGCAGTCACGCGGTTTCCCTCGCGCATTGGCAAGCGCCGCGTTATGTTTCACGGCATCAGTAATACGCGCGTGAGCTTCGACCAACTGGCCCTGCGCGCGAGCGCGCCGCGGCAAGGCTTGCCTCCAAGTAAACCCCACGCTAACTTCAAGATCAGCTGGTCGAGCTCGCCAGGGAAGCGCTCAGCACCCCGCGAGGGGGTCAATTCCCAGTGGCCCAGGACAGCACCAAACAACAAATGCTGCCCGCCCTCGGCGCGAACGCCTTCGGCAGCTGCGAACTGGGATGCCCGGGCCCCGCCGCGCGCGCCAAAGACGAAGTGGAGCCCCTCGGGCCCGCAGAACTCGCGAGACCGAGGGCGCCGCCGCCGAGCCCCGCCAAGGACTCGGTCGCCGACGGCAGCGTCGCAGGAACGACATCGCCGACGACGTCGCCGTCGCCTTTTCTCTCGGCGCAAATGCCCCGACACATGTGCAAAAAGTTTGGGCCAGCGCAAGTTTGAGCCGAAATGAGTGCGGAGGAGCAGCGGAGCAGGAGTGAACGCGCCTCAAACAGCCACCCCGATGGGGAGACACGGGTGGATGGCATTTCAAGACGGATGGGGTCTTCGATCTCTTGAATGGGCCTGGCTTTCAGCCGAGGAGGCGCGATGGCCCCGAACAATGGCTCAGGCTCTTCGCGTGCAACCTCCGCGCGTTGCATCATCGGTCGCGTCGGGAATCACTGCGTTTGCACCGATGGGCGGCGGCAAGTTTTCAAACGTGGGTTATTGTCTTGAGACGTCCTCACGCAGCGCAAGCATTGCAGACCGAGGGCTCATCTTCACGTTGACCCGACCACGCGGCCTGCGAGCGCAACAAACTAGGAACCACTCCGGTCCAGTGGAGGAGGACGAGGAGGAGGTGATGGAAGAGGAGGAAGACGAGGGGGCATGAGGGAGGAGGAGGACGAGGAGAAGGAGGAGGAGGAGGAGGAGGAGGGGGGAGAGGAGGTGTTTTGTCGTTCGCGTGCGTTCTTGCTATACGTGACCCAACCCAGAGGCTGGCTGATGGTTCCGTTCGTGTTGCTTGTCGTTGTTACATTGCCTTGTGGAACCGACTGCGTAATGCAAAACGCTCGCCGATGCTTTCTGCGTGCAGTGTACAAATCGTGCGTTAAGGGAACGGCTTCCGTCCTATGGGAACCACCCGTCGGTTTCCATTAACTTCAGCCCACTGTAGGGATCAGTAACCTTAGACTCATCCCATTGACGGGGAAGTACCCTAACTCTTGGAGAGTACCTAACCAGCCCAGGATGGCCCAGAAGGCCCCCGGACAGGCCCAATAGGGCCCCAGGACGGGCCCAAGAAGCGCCTGAGAGGGCTCAGACAGCGGAAGAAGTGCCGAAGGCGGCCCACGAAGCCTCCAGCAGGCCCCCAGAGGCTCCCAAGAGGCCTGAAGAGGCCCCAAGACGCTTCCAACTGGCCCCGAAGAAGCCCCCTGAAGCATCAAAAAAATGTATCCAAGACGCCTTCTAGAGGCCTCCAAGCTGCCCCCAAGACCCCTTTTCCGAGAAGCCCAAAACCGGCCCCACTGCTTCCACGGCGCCTACGTCTGAACACAAGCGTTGCAATACAAAAGGTTTTTCCACGCTTTCGCATTTTCTCCCGTCTTCGGTGTCCTTCGCATCCACAAACACCATGGTTCCCAGCAGAGACCGGCGATGCACAAGGCTCCACAAAGAACTGTGACGCTTTCCAGCAACCGCCGAACATCTCCAACAACCGCCGATCATTTCCTCATCCTCGTCATGCTCCTTCTTTTCCCCCTCCGCCTCTTCCGCTTCCCGTTTCCTCCTGCTCCTCCTCATCCTCAGCATCCTGCCACTCCTGCCCCTCCCCCCCACCCCCCCCTCCACCTCGTCATGATCTTCCTCCTCCTCCTCCTCCTCCTCCTCCTCCAACTCCCCCTCCTCCTCCTCCTCCTACTCCGTCGCCTCCATTTCCAACCCGCACCATCATCCTCGCCAGTCGCTGCCGTCGCTGGTTATGACCTCCATCGTCTGGGAGCTCCAGGGCCGCTCTGGGGTGCTCTGTGAGCGGTCTGGGATAACCCCGTTCCTCCCATGCCCCCCTGTGCCCCGGGCCTCGGGCGCCCCGGCCTCGTGCACGGACATATATATATATATACATACACATACATACATATGTGTGTGTATGTATGTATGTATGTATGTATGTATGTATGTATGTATGTATGTATGTATATACATGTATATGTATAGCACTGCAATTGTTGCACCAATAGTGCTCCACATAGATTGCACAACATGATTGCGAGAAACACATTGTTGGTGGTCCACACAGGCTGCCATATCCGCCACCGTGCCTCGAGGCACGAAGTGGAGTATCCCCAGGCTCATGTGTTCTCTGTCCTTTGTACTCATGACTGTATGATTCTGATATTAGAAGGGCCGGGGCCCCAAAATCACAAATTTCATGCGCGCTCCCGCGCGCTCTTGGGCTGCCTCGCGTAACTTTTCCAGAGTCCAGGGGGCCCCAAGACGGGCCAAGAGGGAGGGTCCAAGAGGCCTCCAATACAGCCCAAGAGAGCTCCACGACGCCAAAGACGGCCCCAAGACGGCCCAAGAGGCCCCCCCAAAAACCCAAGAACGCTCCAAGAGTACCCCCAAAAGGGCCCAAAGAGGGAGAAATCATTGATTTTCCGATTGTTTTGTATGTGTTCCGTATGCTCGCATTTTCGAGCTTCCGACACCCCAAGATGGCCCCAGAGGCCCCCAAGACCGCCCCCAAACCCCCAAGAGGCCCCGAAGAGGGCCCAAAGACGGCCCAAGAGGCGCCCAAGAGGACCCCAAGACGGCCAAAAGAGGGACCCAAGAGGAGGAACACGAACCGACAATTCGAGCCTTCCGCCCCAAGGGGCCACCAAGAGGCCCCAGGAGGCTCCCAAGAGAACACAAGAAGCCCCCTAGAGGCACCACGAGGCCTCCAAGAGACCAAACAAATTGGCCCCAAGAGGCACCCAACCGGCACCCAAGAGGACTCAAAGCTGCCTTGCAAATGCCCCCGAGAGGCCTCCCACGGTATCCAAGCAAACATTCAAGAAGCCTCTAACCCACAACCCACGGACGGTGGCGGGATGGGCCGAAGGCCACTTGATACATATTTACACGTGTATACATACACATTTTACATATACGTATATGTATGTCAGAGCATAGCCATGCACATGCACAACTACATGTGTATGTTTATGGCTATGTCAAATACATATATATATATGTGTACCGGTATAACATATGAATATATGGATGCGCATATATGTATACGTATATACATATGCACAGGTATACATGTAGATGTCTATGCAAATGTATACATATGCACATATATATATATAGACACACGTATACACGTACGCGTAGCATTCACAAGACATTACATTCCGTTTCCTACATCAGATCGTTCTGGCTGGGCCTGCTGCCAGCTGCTGCAGATGGGCATGCGTAATTGTCTGGGCGCGGCGAGTAAGTTTCTTACCATGCAAATGTAGACGAGCGAAAAGAATGCGTGGGAATAAACACAATAATACGAAGAAGAAGAAGAAGAAGAAAAACAAGAAAAATAAGAGGAGAGGGGGAACAATGAGGGAGACGCGCACAGAAACGGAGAAGGGAGATGGAGATGGAGAGGCAGACGGATATGGAGAGGGACAGACCGTTGAGTGCTGTCCAGACAGGGCAGAAGGCACCTACGCGGGTGCAGCGGGTGGGCGCCGGGGCGCCGATGTTGGCCTCTCAGATTCTGGAGTCGGGATTTTGAGCAGCCGAGGCCAGAAGAATGGTGAGGTCGGAGCCGGAGGCGGAGAGTATGAGTCGGAGAGACGACATCAATAAGTCAGAGCGGGACACGGCAAACTACGAGCTGGAAGTGGTGAGGTTGGATCCGGAGTCGGAGAGATAGGGGCATGAATCGGGGAGGCGCCGGAATCGGACAAAAGAGAACATATTAGATCCGGGCGAAGCATAAATTATAGGTAGGAGCGAAGCATACATTACATATATACATATACAGCACTGCCAGACGGACGATGGATGCCAGACGATTTATGAGAACTCCAACCGCAGGCGACATATGCCATCCATCCCGGGCCGTCCAGGCCAGGGCGAGAGACGAGGGGCTTAGGCACGATGGCAAGTTCGGAGATCCCTCAGCGGATGCAGGGACATAGGTGAAAACCGAAAAAGGGGGAAGAGAGGGAGGGAGAGCTTGAGCCGCGTGCCACGGATCGCACACGCGGAGCGTGATGTCTCACATTCGGCATCCGGACGTCCAAACTTCACGTGCTTGCAGATATCGAATCAACCAGCACTGCCACACGGACGATGGATGCCAGACGATTTATGAGAATTCCGACCGCAGGCGACATCTGCCATCCATCCTGGGCCGTCCAGGCCAGGGCGAGAGACGAGGGGCTTAGGCACGATGGCGACTTCGGAGATCCCCCGAATCCCGCAAGGACAGACTGGCCCGCCAAGGCCGAACCAAAAAAATCCAAAAAGTCAAAACGCACACAATGGTGTTCACCCGTGTCCCCAAGAGACCCCATTCGAGAGAAGGTCGTCCAAACCCGCAGCCAGGGCCCACAGGCGATTGAGAACCAAACGCTAGGGGCCTTGGATCATTATCTTGGCCAGGGCTCTCGCGAATCGCAACGGGCATGCAGCGGCAAGGGCCGTCCAGTTTCGACCGCCAGGAGCCTTCCCACTAAAGATGATGTGAGATTTGTGGGACAAGCTACACACTCCGTTACGGCAAACGCACTTCCGAGAGAGAGGGGGGGAGAGAGGGAGAGAGCCAAGCGGAGAGGCGAGTGGGTTTCTGCCATCTCGTACAGAACTGGCACATGTGAAAATCGACTGACTGATGTTCGGGCTTCTTACACACTTTTATCATATCAGGCGCAAGCCACAGCATGGAAGACGCGGGGTTCTCTATGTATACTGGAACTCCACACGAGACGCACAGTTTGATCATTCTACAGCTGAAACGAAAGGTGGCGTTGCCAGCGGCCAGACGGGCCTGCTCGACAGTAGACAAATAAATGTTCGGCTGGAATTCCCGTGGGCCGCTCGCGCGTGCGAAGGGGGCGTCGAAGGGCACGACTCCACAAAGCACAATGATCCCCAAGAAAAACGCCCGAGACGCACCCGCTAGAAACCCAACCGCGGATCAGCCTTTAAAGCGTCATGTGGAGATGGTTTTCCCCACTCGAATTCCGAAAATCAAAGTCGATGGCGGAAGCGCCCGTGGCCCGCAGGGCCTTTGACAGGGTTCCGGACCCAGCGAGAAGCTCGAGAAGAGCACGATGTCGAGACGGATTGTTGGACCCCCCCCCTCTCTTCATTTCATTCCTGAAGCGGCGCTGCAGGTGGGCTCGAATTTCACGCGAGGAGAGGGAGAGGTGCATGCTCACTGGCCGCTTGCGCGGGCGGTGCCCCGAACACTTGGGCGCATCCTTTTGGCGGCTCGCAAGGCCGGCACGCACGTCGCGGGGACGAGGTGGCCGATGCTGGCCTCAACGACTCCCCCGGTAGCACGCACCGTCCAGAGGTGATCCATCACGAGATGCCCGAGACGAAACACGTCGCCGCGAATAACGCTCAGCTCTGCCAATAACTTGGTTTTTTTTACGTATCTTTTCAGGCCTCGCACTGCCGCCCATCGGCCCCCCGGCTGCGCCTGGAAGGCGCCCCTCAGGCACTGGCTGTGCTTGAGTCGACTGGCCGCGGCCGAGAACGACCGAATGCAGCTCTCGGCGGTGATCGTCGCGCGCAGGTGCTCCAGCGCAGGGGCCGGCCACGGGCCCGCGTCGATCAACACCCTCTCGGCGTGCAGTCCAGTCTTGCCCGGCGCCGGCGATGCCGCCCGCGCGGCCGTCCAGGGGGGGCCAGCCTCCACCAGCAGCATGCAGACGGCCATCGCCACAGCCTGCGGCATAAGCCGCATCCCAGCAAGCACCATTTGCTTCCACGCCACGGAAGCCCGCGCGGCACGGGGCCACGGGACCTCCCACGCGCTGCGGAGGTCCAAATAGAAATGGGCCAGGCTGGCCAGCAGCTGAGCGCCGCGATCTGATGACACACCGCGGTGGAAGCAGTCGTTGAGATAAAGCGCCAGGACTGCGTCCATTTCCTCCACCGTGCTCCAGCCGAGCCCCTTTAGCTTGCAAAACTGCAGAGAGGCCGTCGCGGATTTCTTGTAGAGGGCCTCCGTCGCAGGGCGAAGAGCGATCTGCTCGAGTACGGTGAGCGACCCCACGGGTTCCCTCTTGGCCGCCAGGCGCAGTGCCGCCGCCGCGCGCGTCTCGCGCTGAGCAGCGGCCTATGCCCTCGCCCACGGGCGCCTCGGCGCGGACCGCGGACCCCCCCTCGCGCGGAGGGCGGCGGGGGGCCTTGCAGCCTGAAAATCAGCTAAGGCGGCCACGAGAAAGAGCATCGGAAGGGTTGCGTCCGCTCGGAATCAATGAACATGTAGGCGGCACCCCGACGACAATGATAAGGCGGCGATCTTCAACATCGCGGACTGGAGGTGGCTCGACTTAGCACGACCCTTACCGCGCGCTAGGGCTAGACACATGTTGTCGACGAGGATGACCACTCGCCGCCCGACGGCGGCCCCAGCTCGCAGGATATGTTTCCAGGCCAGGATGAGGGCCTCCCCTTCCAACTGCGCACCCAGGGACTCCGTCGCTCCAGACTCCCCCCTAGGAACATACGATGCCCCGCCGAATAGCAGTAGCAGGAGGCGGAATGAGGACGTGGGAGTGTACGGAGGGAGTTTTAGCGGCGCGTGCAAGGTGCCCCCCGAGGTTCCCCATGCTCCCATCGAGCTTCGCAGAGTGCCTCCACGAGGAGGAACGAAAGCGGGACGGACTGGCTGGGACAAACAATAACTTGGGATCGGCGATGCATCGCCGATAGAGGGGTGATGGGCCATCGATGTGCGATCGGGGATCGATGCTTCCCCTGCGCCAGGTCCCCTCCGCTCCCGCTGTCACTGACTCCGGCCTATAACGAGGAGGAGGAGGAGGAGGAGGAGGAGGAGGAGGAGGAGAAGAGAGGAGGAGGAGAGAGGAGAGAGGAGAGAGGAGGAGGAGGAGGAGGAGCAGGAGGAGGAGGAGGAGGAGGAGGAGGAGGAGGAGGAGGAGGAGGGAGGAGGGAGGAGGAGGAGGGAGGAGGAGGAGGAGGAGGAGGAGGAGGAGGAGGAGGAGGAGGAGGAGGAGGAGAGAGGATAGAGGAGGAGGAGGAGGAGGAGGAGGAGGAGGAGGAGAAGGAGGAGGAGGAGGAGGAGGAGGAGGAGGAGGAGGAGGAGGAGGAGAGAGGAGAGAGGAGGAGGGAGAGAGGAGAGAGGAGAGAGGAGAGGAGGAGGAGGAGGAGGAGGAGGAGGAGGAGGAGGAGGAGGAGGAGGGGAGGAGGAGGATGAGGAGGAGGATGAGGAGGAGGAGGAGGAGGAGGAGGAGGAAAGAGGGAGAGAGAGAGAGAGAGAGGAGAGAGGAGAGAGGATGGAGGATGGAGGAGAGGAGGAGGAGGAGGAGGAGGAGGGAAGAGGAGGAGGAGGAGGAGGAGGAGGAGCAACGAGCAATGAGCAATGAGCAATGCGCGGGGAATTCAAATGAGTTGCTCGACTCACACCATGAAACCTGGCAAAGAACTCTGCGCAACCCGACTTAGTGGGATGCGGGTTATCACTTGAAAGAGACGGGGCAGCCCGCACTGGCTGGACCAACACTGCCCCCGACTGGTGACGAACCCCCGTGACGCCACGCAGGCGTACTGGGAGGGGCCACCTAAGGGACCGACGGTTGGCAGGGTCCTCGGCCTTTGCTGGAGGAGGAGGAGGAGGAGGAGGAGGAGGAGGAGGAGGAGGAGGAGGAGGAGAGAGGAGAGAGGAGAGAGGAGAGAGGAGGGAGGAGAGAGGATGGAGGAGGGAGGAGGGAGGAGGAGGAGGAGGAGGAGGAGGAGGAGGAGGAGGAGGAGGAGAAGGGAGAGAGGAGAGAGGAGAGAGGAGGGAGGAGAGAGGAGAGAGGAGGGAGGATGTTGCAGAGCTCCAGATTTTCCGATGATAGGTTCAGCGCATGTTGCCAACAGAGTTTGTGAACCGTGCCCTGTGGCTCAAGGCAAAAACGTTTGCTTGTCTCCGTCTGCCACAGTTGGTAGCGGAGCGCGGTCCTCGGGCGGGGCGCCATGGGCAGGCAGGGGCACGCTCAGTGAGAGCGCGTCCTGCCAGCTCGCGTGCGCTCGCCCAGCGGCTGCGCTCGCATCCAGCAAGCAGCGTGTGATCCACGGCGAGCGGGATGCCCGACGACGGGAAGGATGTAGAGGTGTTTGCAGTCAGGCAAGAGCCGCCAGCAGGAGCCGCCCCAGGAGGCGGTCAGCAGCTGGCGCCCGCGGTCAGCATGGGGGCCGACGAGCTCAGGGAGATGATCAGGGGTATAGTTTCAGAAACTATGGGATCTGGAGTTCGACGGCAGGAAGCGACAGAAGATCGAGACCCTTGGAAGGACCCCACCAGAGATCCTTGGGTTAAAGAGAGCGCTCCCACTGGAGGAGCAGGCACCGACGGAGACGACAAGGACAAGAGCTGGTGGGACAACAAGGACGGCAGCTGGGACAAGGGCGGCTGGAGCAATACTGGGCGAGACGCTTGGGGCTCCGGCGCCTGGGACAGCTGGAAGGACACGTGGAATGGGTCCAGCAGCTGGGCCGGCGGGAGAGGAGACTTCAGCGACCCTCCCACTTGGCCGGGCTGGACCAACTATAGGCAGTGGAAGATTGCGATGAGAAGATGGAACAAGAATACGGACGTCCAGCTTTGGCGTCGAGCCGAGAAGTTCATGAAGCTCTTCGACTACAACTTCCAGGCGAAGTTCGAGGACGTGAGCGAGGACACCCTCGTGTCCCCCGAGTGGCTCGACGTGCTCATCGGCAGGATGGACATGATGGCAAGAGAGCGTGAGGGAGACCAGCTCCGTCGAGCTGGCCGCCGCGCCTTCTTCGAGGCCGCGAGGGAGTCAAAGGAGTCCCTCACGCAGTTCGTCGCTCGACGAGAGGCTCAGCTCCAGGACGCCGAGGGACACGACTTGTGGATGAGCCCGAAGCTCAAAGGACTACTGCTGGAGGAGGGCGCAGGCTTGGGCGCCCAAGGTATGCAGAATCTACGCACGCTCACGCATGGCAGGCTCGACTTCGCCGACGTTGCGTGGGCTCTCCGGCAGATGGACGCCACCGGGATGGAGCGCCTCCTCCCCGGGCGACCCGGTCCAGGGGCTATGCTGGCGACGAGTTCTGAGGACCGAGGTCCAGCGGGCGACCCGGCTCTCACGTTTCAGTCCTCTCCTCCTCTCTCCTCCCCCGGTCGGTTCGAGGTCGGTGGTGGTGCCAACGGAGACCCCGACGAGGCCAACTACTACGACGGCTCGACCGAGGGAGACGACGACTCGTATGACTCGGAAGATGACATCGTCGCGCTGCTCGCAGAGATCGAGGACCTGGACGTGCAGGTGGACAACGACGACGAGATCTGGGCCTTCCTTGAGAAGAGGCCCAACAACTCCCGCACCTGGAAGCAGAATAAGGACATCAAGAGGGCTGCCCGCAAGGACAGGGAGTACTACGGCATGAAGAAGTCAGATGGACGAGGGCCTCCTCCTCCTCCCGCTGCTCGAGCCGGCCGCCCGAGGGATGCCACCGGTCGACGGGATCGCAGCGGCCGAGGTCGAGAGGCTCGTTCCAATCATCGAGGCCGACTTTCACGAGAGCAGCTCATGAAGGTGACCCGATGCAAGAGATGCAACGAGAAGGGGCACTGGGGCAAGGAGTGTCCCAAGTACGGAGACCACGTGCCAGGAGCTGCGAATCCCAGCCGTCCCAGCAGTGGCGGGAAGTCAGACCGACAGAAGGTGTCGGCCTACATGTTTGACGGCTTCGTGGACTCGGGCTCTCCAGGCGGCTCCTCGGGCATCTTTGTCTCGGATGCGATTGAGGCCTCCTGGGACGAGGCAGACGACGAGATCACCAAGGGCAGCATCTTCATCACGGCCGGGGCCACACAGGCTCTGGTGGATCCTGGAGCGGGCAGCGACCTGGTCGGAGTGCAGTCGTTGAACCGAGAGTCCCAGGCGTTGGCCAGCCTGGGTCTCCAGTACGTCGAGATCCCCCAGTCGTGCAGGCCTCTCAAGGCGGCGCACGGCGTTGGCGGGGCTGCCAAGGTGATCAGCGTCATCCTTTTTCCTCTCTGCCTGGGAGGCGCCCTGGGCGTGATAGAGACGACAGTCCTAGCGGACAACGTGCCACATATTTTGAGCGTCAATCTTTTGGAGTATCTCGGCTCGGTGATAGACCTGCCGAGAAACGAATTGGTTTTGCATACGCTAGGCGAGACCGAGAAGATGACTCGCCTGGGCTCCGGGCACAGGCTTGTCGACATCATTCGTCCTCTCAAGGAAGAGGTGAGTGTCACGCCTCCAGCTCTGAGGAGGTACCCGTTCCTGAGGGCCGACTCGTTTCAGCTAGTCGACCAAGCCCCGCAGATCATGTCGGATGAAGGGGTGATCTCGAGGTATATGGTCCTTCTCATCCTTCTCATCTTCATCATCAGTGGGGGACCGCTGCGGGCTGGTCATCGATGGGGCTATCTCGGGACGTTCGGGAGCCAGGTCCGGGCCAGGTTCGAGGTCCTTCGGAACAAGCTTATCGGCGTCCTCTGGCCACGGGCTAAGTTAGCAGCCTTCGAGACAGTCCGGGCCTCGGGATCCCCGCGAGAAGCTAAGGTGAGGCCGAAGGCGACAAGGAGACCTACGAGTCGGAGCGTGAGTTGGGTCCTCGTTTTCAGATTCAGCCTCGCCATCTCGGTCTCCGTAGTCGTTTCAGGCTCAAATCTTTCCAGCCTTTCAGAACTTTCACGACACCCAGGCCGACTCCGGCCCTCCCAGAGCGACCTCAGTCATGCGGACAGCGACGCTTGTCCTGATGATAGTCACTACGATGCGACTGGTCCGAGCAGGGAAGAAGAAGGGAGACACTCCCGCGAAGAGGGCCACCGAGGAGTTTCTCGCTCGCAGCCGGTCCGCCGAGTCCGAGGTGAGCCTGGAGTCTTCGGTCGGCTCAGAGGCGACGGAGATGCCGGGCACGTTCGTCGGCGCCGCGTCGGCAGAGCAGACGCCGGGCATGCCGATGGACCAGCCACTGGCCTCCACGGGGCCGAGCCCGGGGGAGGAGGGCCCCACGTCCAGCGGGGCCATGCCAGGGCCCCCGCCGCCGGCCCAGCCCATCATGTGGGCGGCGACGGCCCACGCCTCCGGATGGACGGGGCCAGCGGGAAGCATGAGCAGCCCTCAGCCTCAGGCGCAGGGAGTTCCCCGGTCGTCGCTGACGGGCATCAGCGACTGGACGGAGAGTGGCACCCAGCCAGCAGCATCGTCCAATCCAGCCAGCATGCCTCCAGCACCGCCCCAGCTAGTGTTCGCGCCAGT